ACCCCCGGCTCGCCCCCCCCCACACCACACCCCCTGCAAACAGGGGCGGAGCGAGTGGTGATGGAGCCGGTTCTCAGCAGGCCTGTGACACAGGACCCGTACGCCCTCAACTGCACAAGCCCCTGACCTGGAAGTGGCACTGGGCGGGCCCAAGAAGCAGCATTAGCCGGGGCCTCCTGCAGCGCAGGGACTGCTGGGACCACGGAGCCGGTGGTCTCAGGACCTTCAGAGCCTCCTTGTCAACGGTTCGCTGTCTGCCTGCCCTCGTCTTTCCTGCCACTATGAAAACCTGCAGTCAGGAAGCCTAAAGCCCTGCAGAGATTATTTCAGTGTATGCCAAGCTGCGGGCCCCCAAGGAGAGCAGCGGGCCGCCAGCCTGGAGGGTTTCCCACCGTGGACGAGACATCACATGATCATCCGGGCTCTCTTGCCACGGGCGCTGCAGAGGGGGCCTCAGAGACTTTCTGCGTAGGCATCGGAGCGTTCGGTGCCCGGGCCCACGGGTCATGGTGTTTCCCTCTTCCCCTGAGGGAGGCCTGGTGAGTGGCTGTGGGGTGGGGGGTTTGGGGTGAATCACCTCTGGGCATTGGGTTTCCCAGGGATAGAAAAGGACAGTGGTGCATGACTCAAAGGGTCATGTGGTGCGGGGCTGTGTCTCGGGCCCACTGGTCAACGCTCATGCAAAAGCCACACAGGCGGGTCTTCAGGATGCAGGACCCAGTGCCCATTCAAGGCTGGCAGGTAACAGGTTCTCAATAATTATTGAAAGAATGAATGAACGTCCCTCAAGAAGTTATAAAACATGAACCTGATGCCCCTGTACCCCATGGGGGTGTCATTGCATAGGACACCCTAAGGTGTCACAGGCCACTGGAGGGTACGAAGGGACAGGGGCCCAGGCTGCACATTGAGGAGTAAGCAAATCCCACCCTGGGACAGGCCAGCTCTGGCAAATGCCCACAGCCTGTGCACAGCAGAGCCCCAGGGTCCAGCTGTGCCCCTGCCGCAGCCCAAGCTGCAAGTGTCCCCAACCTGCAGGGGTTGGATGGTGCTTCCAAGGGAAGGTGTGCACCTGGGGCCCGCACACTTTCCTCGCTGAAGCCCTGCGGTGGATATCTTCCTGTGATCCTTCTCTAGCTCAGGGGAAGGAGGAAGGGCAAAGACCCCACCTTGGGCCCAGGGGTCGGCTGTCACCACAGGGCTGGCTGCCCGACAGGACAGAGAAGATGTCACTGAGCAACAGGCAGGAAACCCCAGACAGGAGACGCCCCTCCGTGCCACCCCTGGTTCTCACCAGCCCTGCCTTCTCCTGTGCACCCTGCTGCTCCCGGTGGCCCCACATCTGCTGCTGTCCTAAAACATGTGCCCAGGTCTGCCACACAAGTTCCAAGGCCCATGCCTTGGGCACGTGCTCCTGGTGGAGGCTGACTCCACTGCTGGACATCGGTGGCCTGCAAAGAGGCGTCAGGGGACTGGAAGGCAGGGCCGAGACTGATGGGGGCGGACCAGGACCACAGTCCTGAGGAACAGTCGGGGAGATGGGTGTTTGGGACCCACTGTTTGGGTGACGCCTCTGGCCGACATGGCGAGGGCCTGAGTCTCCACGAGCCATTTCCCCAGAGGGGCTGGAGTGGGCAGGAAGAACGTCCAGGGTGTGGGGCCAGGCGCCCGCCGCCCTGGTGAGGAGGGGCAGCCCACCCAGCCTCGGCCGCAGCGTCGGGGGGAGGCTCAGCTGAGCAGGGAGAAGCCAACAAGGCCCCCGGCCGGCCCGGGGCTCACCTGGATGATGAAGCCCGTGGACGAGCACTGCCTGACCCAGAGGCTGAATTTCCGCTTTTTCCTCTTCCGCAACTCCCGCTCCGTGCACGTGGCGATGAACACGGGGTCCTCGTCAATCAGCGGTTCGTGTAGCACCTACCGGGAGGGACAAAGCAGAGGCTCTCACGGAAGGCAGTGGGAGCTCATGGTGCATCAGATCTGAGCTAACATCCCATCTCGGCCTTGGGCCGGCTGTGTGACCTCGGGTGAGTCACTTCACCTCTCTGATCCTGAGCCTCCTTATCTAGAAAAGGGTAATGTCGGTATCTACGCTAGAGTTTGGTAAGTAAGAGGCGGTGTGCGAAGCGGTCGGCACAGGCCCTGACCTACAGCAGCTGCTCCATCCACGGAATTTATTACCATTCTAACGTCCCCAGTCCCAACTCTCACTTGGCAGAGGGCTCTCCAGCCGTCAGGGTCCCTCGGCCTCAGGCTGGACATGTCTGGTGGCGGCACCCACTGCTTTACAAGGAGGCCCTTTCCACTGACTGACAGCTCCAACCGCTAGGAAGGTCTTTCCTTGTTGATTCAACGTTTACACACGTTTAACTTAAACCTACTGATCTGACTTTTGCCCTGTGAGAAGCAAACAAAAAACACTATTTCTTTAGATTTTCAAGACAGCTCTCACGTTGGCCCACGGCCACCTTATTCAGGCTGAACACCTCTTTGTGAACATCGTTTGTCTGATGACCCAGGTCCCCGGCTGCCTGTTGCAACAGGCAGCTCTGCCTCTCTCCTGCAGGCTGCTGTGTCCCTTCCAACAGGATTCCCAGGGCAGTTTCTAAATGCATTTTGTCCAATTCAGCTTCTCGATAACATGGTGACATGACTCTTTCGATGACAAGACAATAAAGCAAAAAGAAACAGCATGAAAAATAGACTCCAAGGGGCAGTCGCAATTTTGTTTTTTCAAGCTAAAGATTTCTGGGAGACTTCGGGGTGAATTTTAGAACTCCGCTACACTTGCCCAACCCTATTCCAAGTTTACTTATGAATTAGGGTGTACGTCTGTGGTTAATTGAAGGGTGTAGGCGACAGCTGACTCCAGGAGCTACCGGATGCTCTAGGTCGAGGCTGGGAAACCACGGCCTAGTCTGGCCCGCCTCCTGCTTTTGTGAATAAAGTTTTATTGGAGCCCTGCCACACCCACTCATTTACATATTGCCTATGGGTGATCTGGGGCTACAAGGGCAGAATTGACAAGATGCAACAGACCGTGTGGGCCACACAAAGTCTATGATACTATCTGGCTATTTACAGAAAACATTTGAACCAACCGAGCACCTAGGGATGTTGCTAGAATGTGGATTCTGATTCGACAGGTTCCGGGCAGTAGCGGGGCATTGAGCCTGGTCTCCCCATGCTCAGGAGGGGAGGGCCGGGAAGCCGGCTGGCTGCAGGCCCCGGGGCCTCATGCCTGGCTTCTCGCTGGCCCTTTGCAGCGTGTGAAACGTTCAAAGCCGTTCAGAACCCCTCCAGAGAAACGGACAACCCCCCACGCAGTGGGGACCAGAGCGGACGGGAGGGGAAGGACTGAAGGCCCCTTTGTGGCCGCCCTTCCTGCCAACCACCCCTGTGGGGGATGCGCCCACTCTTCCTCCCTGGCTCTCTTCACAGTGAAAACGCAGCTCCACCCCAGGGGCATCGAACAGACCCTCAGCAGCCACTTCCCGCTGACCACACGCCTCACCAAAGCAGAGGCCAGCGCGCTGAGCTGAAGGTTTTTCTCCCTTTTCCATCATCATCAGATTAATTACGAGTGCGTCGTTCCTAAACGCGGTGCAGGGCGGTGGGCAACCTAGAGCTCCAGAGGCTGTGCACGCCCCCTCCTCCCGCTGCAGGCCGCCTGGCATCCCCTCGCACACAGCCTGCCTCCGCGTCCCCCCTGCATGCGGCCAGCTCGTTTTGGGGTGTGCCGGGTGGTGTGCATGGCAGGGGAGGCAAAACATCCTTTTCTCTATTTGCATAATTCCCGTTTGTCCCCACATCCACTTCCTACCCTCCTGCCACTGCTCCGGGGCCTTCCAGGCTCCTGGGCGGCCCCTCCCTCCGTTTGGCCTGGGGTGACGTGGGCGTCCCTGTGCTGTTGGCCCGTGGCTCCACCACCCTCCTGATTTCCCTTAACCCTGGTCACACCCTGGCAACATCCCAGCATTACAGTCTCTTCACCTGCCCCTCCAGAGCAGGCCTTTCGTGTCCTGCTGGGATCCCGACCAACACAGATGGGCACAGGGTAGACGACGGCAGCAGAGAAAATGCGACTCTGCAGATACTAAGGTGAAAAAAAAATTAAATACAAAGTCCAAGAAAAAAGGAAAAAGGAAAGGTGAAAAAACCCAAACACGACCTGAGAGCCCTTCCCCAGACCGAGCCTCGTCAGCGGGAAGCAGTGAGAAGACATGACAGCAGAAGAAAAGGTTGTCCCTGGCTCCCTGGTCCTCATCCCACCCGCGCTGCTGGCCCAGCCTCGTTCAGGGACGCCCTCAGGGCACGTGTGCTGCAAGGGGAGCCCAGGGGCTCAGAATCCCCAGTGGGGGCTATACTGTGCCCGGGAGCCACAGCAACCCCCTGGGTCTGGGTCACAGACATCTGAGACCACAGCTCCCACAGGCACAGGCAGCCCGGGCAGCACGTGGGGGACACATGGTGGACCCGTGCGCAAACATAGGCCAGGCTCACCTGTTCCTGGAGCAGGAGGTTTCTGAGCCAGCCAACCTACAGGCTGCCAAACACCAGCCCCCCGAAGAGCTGGCTGAGTCTCGAGGGGCTCAGGCACAGGGAGCCCACAGCCTTCATGGCAGCTCTTTTTTTATTTGTCTTTTTTTGTTTTAGTGACCGGTAACGGGATTGCAACCCTCGGTGTCGCGCCCATACCGGGGACCGGCAACGGGATCGCAACCCTTGGTGCTGCGCCCGCACCGCACTCAGCCAGTGAGTGGGAACCGGTCTCCACATGGGATCCGAACCCTCGGCGGGAGCGCCGCTGCGCTCTCAAGCGGCGCACTCTCCAGTGCGCCACCAGGCCAGCCCACACGGCAGCTCTTTAGGCATCTGACCCCAAGCACGGTCAGAACATGGGCGTATTTTTCCCCTTGCATTCAGCCAACGTGTCTCTGATCTGGTTCATTTTCAACAAAGCAACTATTCAGCGAAACAAAAGTAACGTGCCCAGCCTGTCCTTGGCACTGCAGGACCTGTTACAGGGCAGGGCGTGAATCCCTTGAAGACTCCACCTCTCGCTAGGAAGACGAGGGACACATGGGTCGATAAGACACAGTGGCATTGGCTGCCCTGTAAACCGCGGGGGTGGGGGGATTGGGGACACAGGGATCAATGTGGGAACACGGGCCTCACCCTGGGCCTGCAGACCAGATACATCTGCAGAGCAGAGGGCAGACGGAGAAGCATCCCAGGGGCCAGAGAGTGCGTCGCAAACACCTGCAAACCCTATTTGGCCTGCATGTTCCCACAACAGTGGGGAGAACCGTTCAGAGAGTTCAATGGCTCCCACAGACCCGAGGCAGGGCGACACCTCCCCACAAGGCCCTGTGGTTTGCAGATGAGCGGGGGAAGCCCCGACACAGGGAGGTGGAGAGAGAACCCAGAGGACACGAGCAAGACCTTATCCAGAAGGCCCTCGGAGGGAGAGCCCGAGGCGACTAGACAGGCGGACGCGTGTGCAATAAGTGAAGTAAACCAACTGTCCCCTCCACAGGGAACAGGTCAAAGGGGAGCGGCTCAGTGGGCCGAGAACTTCCTGGTTTGGGTGAGAGAAATCTCTAGAAAGCAGCCACCTCCGCAGTCAGCTAGGCCGGTAGAGCAGTTCTGGGGAAGATTCTGAAATCCTGTCTCGGGCGTTCAGGTGTGACAGGCCCAGGTGGATGCCAGCAGAGGGCAGGGAGGGAGCTGGGCTGGGAGCGGCAGGGCCACCTCCCGTGGGACGGGTAAGGAGGCCGGGGAGGGTGTCAGGCAGCCACACAGTGGGGCTTGGGCTCCACCACACCTTTGTCCAAAGGCTGCAGCCCTGCCCGGGGCCCAGCACAGAAGCAGCCCCAGCCCATGAAGCACTGTCCCCATCCCAGGTGCACGGCCCTGCAGCAGAAGGCCTCGAGCCCCTTGTCACCACCAACAGGTGAGTTTGGACTCAGACAATGTGGCAAGAAAAAAGACATTAGCCTAAGCAACCTGTCATTTGGAAAGGACATGTAACTAAGGGACAGGGGGACAGGAGAGAAGAGGAGGAAATTGCCCTGCGGAGTGAAACCGAATTCTGACTCGTCTGTGGGTTGCAGCCGTTGCTATGATTATGGCCGTTGGCCTGATTAGGGTTACATGGGGCAACGGGAGGGGGACCAGCAGAGGTGACCTCAGAGGACAGGCCAGGCCTCACCTGCGTCTGGGAGGGCCGGAAGGCGGCGTCGAAGCCACGCTGCAGGGAGTCGAGGAAGGGCTGCACCTTGTAGAGGCCGTGTGAGGCCTGGCTGGAGCGGAAGGCCACCACGTGGAAGTACTTGAGAATCTTCTCGAAGCGCGCCTGGCTCATGGCGCATGCCAGGCTGCGGTTGCCGTAAAAGCCGCTGCTCCAGACGCCCAGCACCGACTCGCAGCGGGAGGCGCCAGTGGAGATCACGTAGCCCAGGAAGGCCTTCATCTCGGCCAGCGTCACCTCCGCCCAGGCCCCGTCGCTCCCGAACCGCTCCTGGAACTTCCGGGCGTACATGTTGGTCTGTGCCACCATGCCCTTGAGGACGTTGTCCGGTACAAGCAGCTGGAAGAAGTCCACGGCGCTGGCGCTGGGGGGCATCTTTCGCGTGGGACCTAAAACCCAAACACAGGCTGCACTTGTTACCACAACCCCCAACTGCACCCCGACCCCCACCTGCAGGAGGCCCCCAGTGCCCCTGGGAGTGCCCAGCCTGAGGGCTCCCGTCCTCCGCCTGCCACCAACACGTACCCGCCGTCTCCGGGGCAGGCAGCAGGTGCGTTCTCACAGGCCTGGCACACCCCGCAAATACCGACCCCAAGAGAAAGGGACATGGGAGGTGAGGAAAAGACACAAGGACACACACTGTCAACACAGGGCTGCTGCCATGGTGTCCTGGCTTCCACCATCCTGTGAGTTAAGGCGACTTTGTACATAACATGCTGTCACCACGCAGGCCATGAAAAATTCNCTGTGCCACCATGCCCTTGAGGACGTTGTCCGGTACAAGCAGCTGGAAGAAGTCCACGGCGCTGGCGCTGGGGGGCATCTTTCGCGTGGGACCTAAAACCCAAACACAGGCTGCACTTGTTACCACAAAACCCAACTGCACCCCGACCCCCACCCGCAGGAGGCCCCCAGTGCCCCTGGGAGAGCCCAGCCTCAGGGCTCCCGTCCTCCGCCTGCCACCAACACGTACCCGCCGTCTCCGGGGCAGGCAGCAGGTGCGTTCTCACAGGCCTGGCACACCCCGCAAATACCGACCCCAAGAGAAAGGGACATGGGAGGTGAGGAAAAGACACAAGGACACACACTGTCAACACAGGGCTGCTGCCATGGTGTCCTGGCTTCCACCATCCTGTGAGTTAAGGCGACTTTGTACATAACATGCTGTCACCACGCAGGCCATGAAAAATTCCATCCAGGAAAGAGAGCAATTTTTCTTGAGCATTCCCTATTTATTAGTGAATACATCTGAAGGGGCTTATTCAGACAATCTCACCGATGTGCTAAAAACCTATGCAGCCTTTTGAATACATATGCGCACACACATATACATGTATGCACGTGTCTGCATGCACACGTGAGGGCATTTCAAAAAGTCCATGAGAAGATTCTCGTTACTTCTCAATTTTACTTTTCCATGACTCGTGCTGGCCAGTCAGAGCTGGTGCCAGCAACACAAGGTCCAGGGTTCGATCCCTGTGCTGGCCGGACACCAAAAAAACATGGCTTTATTTTTCCATGAACTTTTTGAAGTGCCCTCATACATACATGTACATACATGTACACACTTATACATATATATGTGTGTGTATATATGGGATTTTTTAAAAAGAGCCACGGCTTTCAATTCCAATATACATATAGGTACATATATACATAAATGTACATACGTCTGGGTTTTTAATAAAGAGCTATGGCTCTCAATCCCACGTACATACGTATGTACAGTTTTTTAAATAAAGAGCTACAGCGTAATTCCACGCGTAACGTCAGGCGGGCTCACTGCAGGTAGAGATGCATAAGAGACAAGTTGGGCCTCTACTGGGTCTGTGTGATGATTTCTAACAAAAGCTGGGTGCATTCTTTGGAATTTTAAGCACCATTCCTTCCGACCTTCCTTCAGTACTGATTTAGACAGTCTCCGAAAAACGAGGTTTTTTTTTTTGTCCTTTTTGAGACCGGCCGCACCGTGCTCAGCCAGTGAGTGCTGTGAGTGCACCGGCCATCCCTATATAGGATCCGAACCCGCAGCGGGAGCGCCACCGTGCTCCCAGCACCGCACTCTCCCGAGTGCACCACGGGCTCAGCTTCGAAAAACCAGTTTTTTTTTTTTTTTTTTTCGTGTCCGGCAACGGATCGCAACCCTCAGTGTCGCGCCTGCACCTCGCTCAGCCAGTGAGCGGGA